CTCAGCTCTGGCAATATGCAATCACTGTGATTATGGGACTGTTTAGGCAGATAAGTGGAAGTATGGAGGGCTTAATGCTTATATGAAGAATTTCAGGCACTTTCCCTCTCTACTGTAAAGCTATTGGAGTTGAAGTTCACTACAGAACTGTTTGGAATCTTTCCCACGGGACATGAAATCCTGTGAAATAGTTCTACTTCGAGTGGGAACTGGTAAGTTTCTCTTGCAGTTGACTGAGATTTTAATGTGACTTTGATGATCTGGCTGTTTTCAGGCTGATCTTCCTCAGACATGCCAGTCAAGGCATTAGTTCTTAGACCAAGACCCTTTCTGTCTGCAAAGTAATTTGACTGCCAAATCCTTGGGAAGTGCTTTGCAAAGATTTAAATGCCAGACTCTGTCTTGGCACTGAAGTGCTTCTTCCTGAAGGATCTCATATCTCAATCTGACCAACTAGAACGCCAAGCAGGACTTCACTTTCCAAAACACACGGTGAAATGAGAGCACTTCATGCAATGGCTGGGCACAGAGAGAGGCAAGCCTAAAGCTGGCCTATGGGATTCGGAGTCCCAGCTTGCACGGGCCAACACAGATGGCAAAACCATCACTCACATTCAGCTCCCAAAAACTCCCCGTTTTACAGGCCCACCTCGTCAGCCTGCAGAGCTGCACTGCATGGAAAGAAAGGAGGTGTTCCAAAGAAAGCACCTGCTGTGGCAAGTCAGATAGAAGTATAGCCTCAAGAAGAGGTTCCCTTCTGTCCCAGTTTGTTGCACTCTCCCACTTTTCCTGTTTCCTTACTACGTCTCACTGGGTAAAATCTTGTACCCTAAATTCCCAAGTCAACACACTACTGTTCTGTTCCTTTATTTGGAAAAACACCCACCACCACCACCAAAACCATATTTCTCTTTTGAGTCGGGTAAAGAGTAATTTAACATTTAAGTGTTTGAGATCTGGATTTTCTCATCTGCTCCTGTATTTTTTAGTTTGAATTTTAGAAACATTTGTGTCATATAGCACAATGTTAAACATGCAACCAGGAATAAAGAATAAATAATCCCTTGAGTACCAGACATCATAAACAAAGATAAAGTTATGAGGAAAACTGTAAGAACGAATAGCTTCAGTCTGCCCTAAGTTTTTAAATGCTAGGACTATTTACCTTTGTAGACATAATACTCAGAAGTAGCATTAAAACAGGATTGTTTCTTTGGTCATTATCGGGAAGTGCAGCGTGGGAGGAAAGGAGGGAGAGAAATCATGGACAGGCCAAGATCACCACCTAGTGACAGAACTTCTGCTTTGCTTAAATACCAGACAAACTCCTGGTGCCAGAGAAACAAATAATCCAACCCTTATACAACAACAGTCCTCTAAAATAAGGATTATATATTGCTTCAGGATTCCGAAAAAATCATAGCGCACAATCTGGTACAGTGAAGTATGTAGCACTGCATAAGTTCTTTTTGTTTGCTTGTTTTGAAAACTATCAAGAAAAATATTTTCTAGTATTTGTGGAAAATCAATGTAGCACTTGTTCTAATATCCCCCAAAGTAACAATTTAGGTAAAAAAATAACTTAAATATTATTGGAACCTGAACAGATTTTTAATTAATTATTTTGTCAGTAGTTAATAGTGGCGTGAATTTTCTAAACTGGTGGGATCCCAAAAAGCACAGAATAAGTACTACATGAAAGAGGAAGTGTTCTTTCTGCATGAGGGAAACAGCCCTGGCTGTGTACCTTTGTGCAGCACCTGACTCCAAAGGAGAGCAGGGTGAAGTATGAAGATGGGTCTGGAATCTGTCTTTAATTCTTCCAGTGCATTATTATTTTCTTTCATTTCTCACTGTTTTCTTTCTCTTCCTGTACAGAACTGCCATAATTAAAAATGCTAAACTTGAGGCATGATCTTTGATGTGGACATCTACCTTTATATATATAGAATAATAAAACTCTCCTAGCCTTCCAGATGAAACTTGTGCAGCCTCCCATCTTGTTATTGCAGCATCCTGTTCTCCCATTCAGAGAAATACACCTTTCCTTGCTTCCTCTCACACTCTACAAAGATCCCCACCATAATTCAGTGCATCCTGGTCTTGCCCACCCCCGTCTCTTGCCCTGCTTCCCCACCCTAGCTAAGTTCCATGCTTTTATTTCAAGCTATTCCAAAGCATGTGCCACTCAGGCCACCTAATGGACTAGCAGGGCATTTTCACCCACACCCAGTGAGCCTGTCATGTCACTGTCTACCAGTGACTGACTTCTCAAGCACTGTTATGCTTTATCCATAATCACTCAAGTTACTTAGCTACGTGATAACAGCCTCAATTTTGACTTTTAAAAACACAATTTTCTAAATCCTATCATTTTAGCATGCTGAACAATGCTTTAAGGCCTTTCCCCATCCTGCCTTTAGATGACAGTTTTCTACAGTCTCACACTTAGTTACAGCCTCTGTAGGGTAGATCCTGTGCATGCATACCAGCACAAAAGGACTACAGTCAGGGACCAAGGCTCTAGGCTGTCCTGTGCTAGGAGCAAGGCTGCACACCTCTGCCAGGGTAGTTAGGGAACAACAAATAACCTCTAATGAGGGAGGGTAGCTGGAATTGTGCTAAAAGCAGAAGCTGTGCCCAGCAAGGTTTGGAAATGGAAAGGCATCCATTAGCTGTAACTGCTCCAACGCTAAAGAGAGAACAAATAGTGCAGGCATTAGAAACATTTTTTTAAGGCACTATTTTATTTATTTTTTTGTTTATTTTTAGATAGCACCAGGGACAGTTTAGGCAGCTCTAAAGCAAATGCAACCACAGTACAAAGGTGCTACTCAGCTGATAGGCACTGTGCAAAGGGGCAGCTTTGTCTGGTTCTGAAACAGTTGTGTTGGGATAAATTCCATGTTAAATAGGAAGCTATAGGCTCAGACTACTGATTACTCTGGCTCCCCTTCCACTGATAACATTTCAAGCTGCTATTCTACAATAATATTTTCAGTCAGCTTTTAACAATTTTAAAAAGCCCTGATAGTGCCAGTATCTATCATGCCTGGAATGTCAGTTATCAGTGTTGTTCTATTATCCATCAACAGAGTTGAGCTGACACATGCCATAATTTATTTGGACAAAAGGAACATACTTGAAATAAAAATCATGTCCTCATGCTGTCTGAAAAATTTAAACTCGTATCCTATTTTACAGTTGAACAAGCTTCACCTACACTGTACTTCTGTGCCCAAGCTTACTAGGAATACTTGAAAAATAACAAATACTTCTAAAAGAAAAGATAGACCCCACCACTACAATGTATAGCCAGAAAGAGAAGCTTAAATAAATAAATATGGAGATACATATATTTGTGTATCTATATTTACATATATGTTTGTAGACATATTATATATGTTAAAATATGTAGAACACTTTAACACAGCTTTATTCTGGTTGCACCCAACCCACCAGGGTAATTACTTCTGGTATTGTGAAGTTGACATATTACTTCTCTCATTGTGTCAGCAAGAGGGAAACTGATTCAAAAACCTTTCTGTGAAGCAATGTAAGATGCAATACTTAACAGCATTTCCTGAAACAAAGCTTCTCAGAAAACAAGAAAATCTGTTCTTTGGGAGAGTATGTGTCTTACAAATAAGCACATCTTATTTTTTAAGAAGGAAAAAAAAAATCAATTGTGAATGAGCCATTGTGGGGTAATGGAAATGGCATTTGGACATTGCTTTTCCTGGGGTGAGGGCTCCAGTTTGGGCACAGAGATGCCTTACCTTGGAGCAGCTCTCAGCTCCTGCTGTCCCCTGGCTCCCACTGGGGACACAGCCCAGATGTCACAGATGTTCGCAGAGATCCCGGGCAGGCAGCCAGGGAGCAGGGTGGCAGTGGAACATCCCTGCTGTGTCCAGAGGCAGATCCAGAGGGTGCCCAGCTGTTGTGCAGAGGCAGGTACCCCACCCCACAGAGGGTGCAAAATGCAAGTAGCTGCTTGCTTCTGGCAGTTACTCTTAAGCTGATACTTCAGCACAGCATTGCTTTGTGCCTGACACGACTTCCTCCAGAGTTTATAATCAGAAGATTCAGGTATTTTGAATCCTTTCCCTTAGATTGATTTCCCTTTTTGTACCTCCATCACTCACAGTAAAAGCTCATCTTGAAAGCAACTTTAAATTACACATTAAAAAAACCCAAAACCAAAATTTCAAATACACAAAAAAATACGACCAAGAAAACAAAAAACCTCACAACCCACCACTACTTTGAGACAAAGCAACCTAGTTTCATACTCCCTAAAGCCCCTTAAGCACTTCATAAGTCAGCTCCTGCAATGCCATCTCTAAAAGCAGTATTTTCAGTCTCCATGGAAGAAACACACATTTACAAGCGTATGTTCTCAGACAGGTTATTTAAGAAAATATAAAGCAAATCAAACTTTTTTCCTTTAAAATAAGCAATTAAAAAGTCAAATATCTCCAAGAGATAATGACTAATCATGGTAAATTAGAATTCCTTAAAAATTAAGTACATAGGACAAAAGCAGGAATAACTAACAGCTATATACCTCAGCAGGCCCACAAAAACCTATAAAAACATTTACATCACATTGACTAAGCATATTTTTCCCAAACAGCTTTCCTTTGTCAGCTGGCTTAACCCAATGAACTGTATCAGTCTGGTTCTCATTTCTGCAACCAATTTGTTTTCTAAACTACATACACCCAGTTGCATAAACAAATCCTTATTATAACCACAGAAGCAGCTGCCTCAGTTTCTGCTGTAACCAGCCATTTACAGATGATTCATTTGCTCCCGAATTTTTTTTCCCCCCCATGCTAAAGTTTAACTGTAAGAAACAGAGGCCATAGCTTATAAAGCTGTGTGTGGAAACAATGGAGAAATAAAGGTATTTCCCACAACCTGCTAACACAGGTACCAGTGAGGAGTTTTTTCTATCTATAAACCACAATTAAGACAACTGCAGGAAGACACCAATGTGGTCTACAAGAAGGTACATCATTTAATTACTAATTTTAGCTTTATTTTATGTGTACATCTGTACATTTCAACCAGATTCACAAAAGGTAAAACTTGTGTTGTCGGAGTATTTCATACAGAGGTTGACACATTGCTTCATGATTACTCAGAAGAACATGCAATAAGCTACAGAAAGTTTATGAAAATATTTTAATAGAAAACTTTAGTTAAATAAAGGAGCATGAGAAACCATGTTTAACTTGTAAATTCTGTTTATAAGCTATTATAAGACATTTCCTACAACCAAAAAAAAAATAAAAGAAATATAAATAATTACATAAAGATTCTTTAAATCTTACAGTTGGACAACTGTTCCACTGTGTCTACATTCTAAAGAATGCAAGTGGAAATTGTGCAGAAGAATATTTTACTTTAAATAATTGTCCAAATGTTATTGCTGTTTTTCAAAAAAAACCTGAAAGCATGCAATGAAAACTTCAAACTAAACAGACAGCTGAATGGACATATTGAGGTTATTAACACAAAATGCAAAAAGTAACTACAAAAGTTCCTCAAAATGTTGTGGTTTTTTTAATATGTACACAGTGAACTGTACACAAACAGGGAAATAAAAAAGTTGGTTAAAAAAATGAAATATAGTAGTATACATTATTTACAACTTAAATGCCATCTTTTTTGTAACTGGAGCTAAACTGTTACATGAGCATGCAGTACATCCACCACTAAAAACAAGTACCTTTAGCACACTATAAGAGAGTCCTGTACAAAGCATAAGTCAACTAAATGTTAAATCACTCTTCTCCATCATTGCTGTTACTACCTTTGAGCTTAGTAACAATGCCTAGGTCACAACACTTTAGCTTAGGTAACTTCAAAAAGTGAAGATATGAACATCTATTTCTAATACAAGTTCAAAAAATGCACTCTATCAACAAGACAGTTTATGGCAAGACACTAACAATGTTCTATTGTTTAAGTCATGCTTGATGAAAAGCAGTACTGAAGGAGCACAAGTCTGTCAGTGGACTAATGGATATTTTTTACCTTTGTCATTTTTAAAGATTTTCAAATTCCTGTTTTCGTCTCCTCCTATTTGTTCAGCCAAATCCAAATAGTTATAATACTTGCATTTGTAAAGCTTATAGTACAACTGCTCAAGTTATCAATACAGATTCTAAATACTTTTTCTAACTGTAAAATAGGTATTTATTCTTGATGGTTTCTGGAATCACTTCTGAAGAATTGTGTGCTATTCTAAACATTGGCACAGTCAAAAGTTTAGTTCTGTAGATACCTGATCATCCTCTAAAACACCCAAAATATTAAGGACCTTCAAAATTTCATTATCTGTATAAAATTTAGGCACATTTCAAACAACTAAAACCTCTAGCCAAGTAATTTTAAAAGATTTTAGATTTTTAGCTCCCATATATCATATATTAATGGATAATCCAAAATAGATTTTACAGTGTTGATACTAAATTTCTCAAGTAAACCTAGAAAGTTAAGTCTCAAATAAAAAGGAATGCCATTTGTATCAATCAAGTATTGTTTATTTTACTGAAAATGTCTATTCAGTATTTACTTTGCCTTAGAGTTGGTGTTTTCCAGTCCACAAAAGGAGTACAAAAGGATATACTATCCATTCCCTTCAACAGCTGTCAAATCCAGCTAGGATTCATACAGTAGCTTCCCAAAGTCTTCAGTAACTACAAGATGAACAATTAGAAGTGACAAAATTTATGCTCCTGAAAGAAAATACTTCTTTAGATCATTTTTTAGAGCCAAATTGTTTTTACACCTGCTACACTGGGAGAATACCCCAAGCAGTAATACATCTTCACAGACTTTGAGATGTCCTTGCGATTACATTAAGAATTAATGCACAGCTTGAATTTCATGTATAACTTCAGGTACAATTGTGGGAAACAGCAGAAACAGAATGCTTCAGGACATAATCTGTCACAATTTTAGGATATCAAACATATGTACTCAGGTTGAATTCTACTTTCTACGAAAATTTCATTTTTCCAAAAGTGTGTGCAGTTACATACACAAATTAATGAACCCAGATGAAGATTTCACTGCTGTAATAGAGGGCAGAATAGTTTTCCCACTGACTTTAAAAGTTGTGATGGTGGTAACCAATATCACCACCAAATATTTGACCATTAGCCCAAAAAAAAATGTTCAGCTCTCTTAAATTCATCTCTACTCAAAGAACATTGATTACTTCAGCTGAGGATTTGAAGTGTCTTTCCACCTTGGGCTGCTCCCAATATAAAGACTAAGAAAAAGTTTTAATTCAAAAGGTCAATATGCTGATGCATGTATGTTAAATTTTGGTAACTCTGAAAAAAGTTAAGCTTTAGCATTTTTGTGTATGTAATAATACATCATAATTTATGAACAACATTCAGAATTCAGTTTTGTCTCAAATTGCTTGGAATTAGATGTGCTATTAGGATGACAACTGTGACCTAGCTCCATGTTTTTCCCCTTAACTGAAATACACATAAGATGAAAAAACCTATTTCTAGAAACAGAAGACCAACTGAAAAAAATTGTCAGGTTCACAATTGCATTTCTAGGCCTTATAGAGTCACTTTCTGGGGAGAGGGGCTAACTGATTAAGCCACAATTCATTACACCAAGCAGTACTATTGTGTCTATTCATCCGGAATTATACATGTGTGATGTTGGATGGCTGTGCACAAAAACATCCAGTTTAATATGCTCATGATATAAATACTTAGATTTAATGCAGGCAAGGTATTATTAAAATATGTCTAGTGCATGAAATACATACATTAAAACAAAAAAAAAACAGTTCCTATCGTTATTCAGACTTCATTACAGTTTCTGCTCAAAGGGCATTATATATGTGCCCCCCACAACAGAACTCAAAAATTGTAAGCAAAATAAATAACAATGTACAATATATTGAGAGGGAAATACTATTTTCCTTATCAAAATCAAAACTGTACTTCAAAAACAGAAAGCTACTTTAGACAAGTGTAGACAAGCTTCACATCCTCGTTGAATGTTCAAAACTGGTTAAATCATTGGTTTCTTAAATAAAAGTCAACAGCAAATCATGGCTAGCCACAGCATACAGCTTAGTTTCATAAACTCAAAATTACTCAGAAAATTAAAGACAATAATTATTTAGAAGCTTTTTTCCCAGAAACACAGCTGCAGGTTTTGAATAAAAACAATTTTTTTTGATCTAGGGAATAAGTCAAGCCAACTAGAGTGGTGCAAAATGTTCTTTAGCTGCTTCCCAAGATGAGAACCAAAAGAGCAACCACCTCCAGTATATGTGTACCAATGCACAGCGATTGTGGAAGCTCTACTGAATGCCTGAGTCAGGGTCAGAGAGGTTGTCTCCAAGAGGAATCTCCACATAAGCATCTGCTACTGATCTCCAAACCACGGAAATAACACCAATTAAACAATGTTTGGGTCACTTAAGCTTTGGGTCAATAGAACCTGGTTCTATGAGTGATTTTGGCGGCCTAGACACTTGTTGGAAGAACAATACAGCAGCCCACATGTTATCCATCACGTTCCTGGAGTATGTAGAGGACATATTTGGAATACAGATGGTTAGATGTACCAGTCAAGGGTGAGGCACTGCTGGCCTTGCTACTCACAAGCCAAGGAAACCTGCTTGGAAACCTGCAAAATCCCAAACAGTGACAGCCTCAGGTGCCATGATCACAGTAGTGGGATTCTGCTGAGCATGCTGAAGGTCAGTGTAAAAACAAACAATTCAGATTTAGAAGAGAAGGCTTCACTACACTCATAGCCCATGGGAAGGGATGCCAAGGAGGATAAAGAAGATAGCGAGTGCTGGGAGTTTTTCACCAGCAGTCTCCTGGAAACACTAAACCAGCTCATCCTCTTTAAGGTCACGAGAGGCAGAGCAAGAGACCTCTTTGGCTTAACTGTGAACCTCTGAATTTGCTCAAACCCAGAAGAGAAGTGTACCAGAGCCAGAAAAGCAGAAAAATACACATTGAGAACTAAAAAGATGCAGAGAGAACTTTAGGAAGTTCAACAAGGACAAGATCTTGCACTTGGCAAAACACAATCCAGGAGTGCAGCACAGGCTGGGATGGACTTGTCTGAGAAGCAGCTCTGTGGAAAGGGATCTGGGGGTCCTGGTGAACAAGCAGCTCCATGTGAGTGAGCAGTGTACTGTTATGGCAAACAAAGCCAACAGGATCATTGATGTGATGGACTGCATCAACAAGGGCATAACCAGCAGAGATAAAATCCCCATTATCTCACTCAGCCTCATGACAGGCCACACCTGCAATACTTGGGTGCTCTGTGTTCAGCTTTGGTCCCTGACATGCAAAAAACACACAAATCCATGGATAGACTGGAAAGGCTCCAGAAAAAGGCCACAGGGATAATCAAAGGTCTGGGAAGACTGACATATGAGAAAAGGCAAAGAACTAGCTTGATTCTGCCTTGAAGAAAGAAGGCTTAAAGCAGCCTTTATCACCATATTCCAATGTTCAAAGGGTGGCTACAAAGAAGATTCCCTTTTTACAAGCAGTCACATGGAAAAGATGAGGGGTCATGCGTACAAATTACTTTGTGATATTCCAGTTGGACACCGGAATAATGCCATTGGAACAAAATCCACAGGGAAGTACTGGACTCCCCAGCACTGGACATTTTAAAGACTTGGCTGGTCAGGGCACTGGGCTACCTTGTTTAGACCATGCTATTGCCAGGAAAGGTTGGACCAGACCATTGATGAGGTCCCCTCCAACCTGGTATTCTATAATTCTATGATAATACTGATGAATTGAAAATGTGTGCAAAGTTTAAATCTTTGCTAGAAGCAGCTTCTAAATAAACAGTAGTTTTTCCACATTAAATAATATATTCAGTACTCACCCTTCTTCCAAATATTAAACTGTGTCGATGCATTATTTTTCTGCACAATGCAGAATGTGCCCAGTGACACAATGCAGAGACAGGCAGAGCTGATTGAAGATAGTGCTAAAACATCCTGTGTGGACAACACTGCATTGTCCAAGGGTGAACCAGGGTACCATCTGTGCCATTCACTCACACACAAGATATCTTTGTAGCTTAGTTAAAAGGGGCAGGAGGAGGGGAGGCTATCTAAAGTAATTTTATTTCTTATTGGAAAATCTAATTTAGTTGTTAGTGTGTCAGGTATAAAAACACACTCCACAAAGCCACCATTCATTCATATATATATATACACACACACACACACACCTAAACCCTAAAGCACCTTATGCTTAACAACGTTGTTTCTAGGGATATGGAATGAAAGTTCCAAGTTTTGCAGACATAAGGCCACTTACAATTTCTTTCACTGTTGGAGTTATTAAGCAGTATGTTCATGCTGTGATTAAAGAACACTTCACAGGCAAACTTTTCATCATTATAAACTCCTCACAGGAAACAGCTGAAAACAAACTTCTGTCAAATAAAGCCTTGTCCCTGTTAGGCCACATAAGCATTACATTATCTGCCTGTCCTTTGTTGCCAGGCAATAATGCTATACAATGCAAAGACAACTAAGCACATGACAACATCTTAAAAGTGAATACAAGTACCTATGCAATAAAAATTATTTGAAGAAAGGTAGCTTAAAACCTTCAAAGATGCCTCCTTGTCCAAGGGGGAGAGTTACAATGGCAACAACTTCATTGGCACAGTAATTAAAATGAAGAATGAAGTTCATCAGTACAAGCATATGTATCTCATCAGCTAGGAGCAGTCTGCTGTAGTTTAACTTAGTGAAAGACAGCAAGCCATTGAGCAGTGGCAGCATAATAGCCTCCTATAAATATAAGGATTGAGATGTTCAAGGAAATTTGGAACCTGTGAGTAAATTTCAGTGTGAGATAAAGGCATGAGACAATCTAAATTAGTGAACATAGTGCTTCGTACTGTGGTTGGTTTTGATCCAGACAAGCATTTCCAGATTGTCAAATATGTTTTAAAGTCTGTTGAACAAGACACTGTATCAAGTAACCAAATTAATTAGAAATAATCAAAATAGAACAAGAATAAAGATGCGAAAATTTTTTTAAATCCTCTCCCCTAAACATACATGTAACAAGGCACATTAGGAGAAATATCTTCAATCACTTTATTATTCAGTTTGACTTAAATACCTGAAACCAGTTTTCTCACAATTTAAGACAATGGGGAGAAGTTTCCATTGCTTGTTACAGATGTCATAATTTCATTGTCTATTAAAGTGCAATGGTTGTGTGCCAAAAATAATAAGCAGAAAGACAAAAAAACAAACAGGAAAGTTTTTGAAGACATTAAAAATCAGTGACAATATATGTATTCAGCCACATTTTTGAAGCAATTAAAAGTAAAAATAACACTGAAAATATTTATAAACCTATATTTTAACTTGTTCCCTGCAAAGCCCATAACTTTGTGTGTTTTCCAAACAAGACTTTGATGTTTTTAAAGAAAACAAATACTATTAGCATTCCTAGTATTTTAAAGAAATGTATATGGAATAAGATAAAGGCAGACGGGTTAATTCATTACATTTTAAAATACTATCATACTGATAAATTGATGCAATCAGTGCAAGCAATGACTGGATTGCAAATTATATTTTAAACATATTCTTTTAGGTGTGCAGTAGGTGCCAGTGTTTGTGACAGTCCTGAAATTCTTTTTGACATCATAACAGCAAAACCTTTGTGTGATCCCTGTCATCATTAAGAGACAACTTGTGAAAAGCATTAAACTGAGAAAAGATGTAAAAGATTCCTTATTCTTCACAGAACTTTATGCCCTTTAAATTTTGTATTTCATAAATAATTAGTCATTAGACTTAAAATTTCTCTTTACTCCAAACACTCACATTTATGACATTTCACATGCACAACACCACTCGGTCCCTTTTAAACTAGAGAAGCACAAACCACTGAAAGCTAAGTATTTGAAAGTTCCAGGTATCTTAATCTTTCCAAAGATACAAAGTGTTCAGAAACAAGGTAGTAAATACATTAGTGCTGCCCCACTTAAGAATTTTTGGAGTATGGTAACTATTTTATTACACTTAATATTTTTGTTCAGTAGAAAACCAATATATCATATTGTTAACCCTTTTCATTTTCCTCATAGGTGTATTCTGAGAGTTTGTTGTATTTGTGTTTTCCTTACAGAATATATGTAGGGGTAAGGGTCCTACCAGTGCTTAATTAAATATAGGAAGTTTATTTGCAATGAGAATCCTTTTTCTGAGGTTTGCAGAAGGGCTGGTAAACGTGTATGTTTAAGACAAAGTAATTTCAAGGAAAACAACAGTTTAAGATTTTTATGTGCATACACAACAGCTTGTACTTAATAACCTTCATACAGTCACCTTAAACTCCTGATTTCTGACTAGCTAAAGTCACAAAGAAATGTGCCAAGGAACAAAACTGCCACGAACCATTCTTCACATAGTGCTAATTATATCAGGGTTGTTAAAGCTGCGGTTCTTAAACCCCATCAAAATTAATCTACATTTTGAAAGAGATCTAAAGTTGTTTTGAATGCTGAACAAGAATATTCAGCATTCAGAGAGATTCTTCTAATACACAAAAGTCAGTTACCTCGCTATTTCACCTGAATTCAAGGAGAATTGTGCACATTCACAGAATTCTTCTACATTCCAGAGCTTACCCAGCCACCCGCTCAGAGTTAAACCAAACATCTTCAAGTCTGGCACACGAAGCAACCTTCAGGACGGCCCCTCTGTTTCGTTCCAAGGTGTTAAGGACAGTGATCCCAGCACCAAGCAAGGACCTGCCTGGCAGCTGCTGGAGGTGCTCCGTGTCTGCTTGGCACACGGAGATCCCCCTGGCCCGTGACAGAGGCACGCTAAGGCGCAGTGCAGGAGTGCAGCAGTTCCAACACTAGAGGACAGCCTGCTCATTTGACTGAGCCTCGAGATTTGTAGTGCACTTTCCACATAGCTTCCTTCCTCTTGCACTAGAATTCGAGTCCATAAGCTGATGAATCCACTTTCAGGAAGCTTCTCTTCAGATTAAAGATGTTTTTCTCCCCCCTTTCTACATAAGTTTCAAAGCGTTGCAAGAATTCGTGAAAATGAGATAATTAACGTCAGTACTGTCTGTCCAACGCCAAAGACAAGAGCTTCTAGGGGAGCCATATTCTTTCCTGCTACTCTGTAAATTCCAGCTACTGCAGCACCTAAGAATCACAAGGAAAACAATGATCAAATCACAGGAAAAGCCAAGGTTGAAATACGTGACAAATTATCTACTCTGTCTATGCATCAGCTATTTATAGAGCATTACCAAACACTGCATTACTTCATGACATTACACAATTACCAGCCTTGCTCGTATTTTTCTAGTTATATATATATCCTTCAGGAATTATTTTCCCAATTGAACCAGATCAACTTTTCCATCATCAGTTAGATTTAAGAAAATAAAATCTTGTTGTTTCCCTGTACACATCTTCAAATTTTTTCCCAACATTTTTTGCTTTGTGCCAGTTTGAAAAGGTAGCAAGACAGTCCTCTAAAAATTGACCAAGTCTGAAGAGTGCTTTAATACTGCTTGTATTGGCAGGGAGAAGACAAGAACAATAAAGCTGCTAGTGTCAACAAAACAATTTTAAACACACATTTTCCAGCTTCATTTAATATTTTAGCTGAATAAATTGGTCATAGTAAATGAGTTTCTTTTGACTTAAACTCCTGAATTGTTAACAATTGTTTAGCAAATCCAGCAAAACATGAAAAAGTTTGAAGTATTGCAGTGTTTTCCATAAATGTGTATGAGAGGAAATTTCTAACCAATACAATTAAATTTTGAGCTGCAGCACATAAACTCCAAACTCAACAGATCATTTTTCTTGTACATTTGTGTGCAAATTCACATTTGAAATATAATATCAAGAGGCCAGGATCAACCAAAACCAAACCCAAAATTTAACTGTAGACCTTCAGTATGCATTGTCTCAGATGCTATCTAGTCATAATTAAATGCCTTCAGAGATCACAGAGGCTCTTTCAGGCCCAAAGAGAACTGAAAAGTCATCATAATTTTTTTTAAATAATAAGCAAGAGTTTTAAAAAAAGGAATTTTTTTTTTGGTCTTGCACAGTCACTAATGGGAATAGTCTGCTCGAATGATCAAAAATCCATTAGTGACACAGAAATACATTGAGTCGCAACAGATTTTCTGAAACTACAGTCAGCACCTGAATCATCTGACATCTTCAAAAAGTAACACTTCAGTTTCACAATAGCTTTGGAAGAGTAGAATTTACTAACCACTGTGGCCATAATGATACTTAAAAACACTCTTAATCATATTATTAGACAATTTTTGGGTTAATTTATTTTTATTGGGTTTTTTGTGGTTTTTTGGTTTATTTTATTTTAAACATACTCTGTAAAGTATATTTCATCTAAAGTATCTCACCAGAAGGCTAGCCTTATGATGGTATTTCATTCAGCTACCTTTCATAAGCTTTTCCATTTGTTTCTTGGCTAGCTGTTGTCAAAATGTGAAAAAGATCCTTTAGATTGAGCCCACACTGACATTAAAATTATTTTTCAGATTGAACTCTCAAAGCAAATTCAAATTGGCCACAAAAGTATATCAGAATTGTCACTAGTAGATCAATAACAGAAATTTGGGGCTTTGAGAAAACACTGAGATACTCTGGGAAGTATTCAGAATAAAACAATAAAAATTTGATAGTTTGCTAATTAGGTATTATTACACAAATAACAGTGTGCAGTACAACCTGTAATCCATAACCCAGCACAACTGGTATTGAGCCAAAAGTATGTACTATAAGCTGCCAACGAGGGAAATGAGAATTTTTCACCAAAAAGGAGTGTGCTGGGGAAGAAGAGGAAGGACACGTCCTTCTTGATCAAATACAGCTAAAATTCTTGCCTTAAGCTGCCTGGTATTTATATATTTCTGTTTGGCTTGGTGGGGATTTTTTGGTTGTTGCTTTGTGGGTTTCTTTGGTTTTGTTATGGTTTTAGGTTTTTTTGGTTGTTTTTTTCTTTTTTACTGTATTCCCTTCTGATTAATTACCCTTAATTTCCATGACTTTTCAAAACTAAGAAACAGAGAAGTCTCCTGCTTTTCTATATGCTGCTAAAAATGTTCCAGAACATCAGAAAGTTTGAAAGATCTCCCTGAGCAAAATTAAACTCACATTCTGCAATAGTCTATGCTGCCTTCATTCTCCTACACAAAAAAATGCAGAAGACTGGAAATGCAAAGTGGAAATTGAAGTCAGTATGTTATTTCAATTCCTTAAGCACTGGACCAGGCGTATTCAAATAGCTGATATTTCAACTGACATCTCTCAGTTTACAGCATAATAGTTATTAAAAATCCTCTTTAATATTTGATCACCATAATTTGCCTTCAAAAGCTCCCCACAGAATTTCTTTCAGTATGAAACAACTGAGTTCTGGCCAGAAACAAAAAATACTTCAAGGTAAAAGTACTTGCCTAAGCTAATTGCAATACTCTCTGCAAAACCTTTGGGAACAGCATAACAAGTCTACAGTGTAAGCTTGGAGAAGTTCTCAGATGAATATGCACACAAACAGGATTGCTTACGTGCTAAATGTTTTGACCTGCAAAACTGGATGCCAAAAATACAACTGTGTTCCTACTCTTTTTATGCATAGATAGAAGACACAAAGTACTTTCATTTGAGAGACACTGATCCTGAAACCACCCCACCACACAAAGCTGTGGAAGTCTCTGCTTGGATCTTTCAACACAACATTTCCTATCTCAGTTCTTCAGAAATGTTCCTGCATGGCTGACCTTGTAACAGGCCACTGCCTTTTAATCCTAAGACAAAAATCAGCATAACATATAACATAAGGCAATCAACTGGTTCCAACTTATCTTAGTGAAAAAAAAACACAATGCAACCCAACCCCCCTGCAAAAACCCAACAAAAAAATAGTTATACTGAATTATACTGTGTTAACTAGTGGAAATTCTAAGCTAAGAAATCTGCAGCAATTAAAACAACCTTTTCAGGAAAGTCTTAGTGAAACTTCTCATGACATTTGCATTTTTATTTAGCCTTGCAAAACAGTAATTAGGGAGCTTCCAGAGGCAATAAGGTATAATCTGACACAAATCCTCTATCAATGTGTCCAAAGCTGATAGTGATACCACTATTCTGATAACCCGGGCAGAACACAGGAAAACCAAAATGAAAGGTGGGAAGTTTTGCCTTCAGACTATATGGTGTTTGCTAGATTTATGGTTCCTTACCCTCTGAGACCTTTCAAGTTAGGCAATCTTTTCTGCAACATTGAAGATTTTTGGGGCAGAAATGACTGCTCAGTTAACATAGGAACCATTCAACACATAGTTTTTAATGCTGAGACTCCTTACCAGCACTGTTGCAGACAAGCATGTGCTTCTTTCCTGAAAAAACAGCATTCACTATTTTTCCCCCGCAAGAGAAAAATCAGCATGTTCCTACTTGCTTGGGAAAGCTACTGTAGTCTATTTATAAGTTGGATAAACAGAGCTGGATATTATAAAACCAAAGAATGAATAAAGTGTCCTACAGGTTTTTTGACCCATGTGTTATATCTATGCTGATATAGATAATGCAATTTCTTGGGAAAGATGGAAAAGCTGCATCTGATACCAATAACCACGAAGACAGATGAGCAGCATTTCCTCAAAACATTCTTGCAACACCGCTCGTGTCATATTTGGTCAGGTGTAAGCCTTCTCTACACTTTACTACATAACACACTCCTACTTTCTGCAATGTTTTTCTGCAATGTTTTAAACATGAATGTTTTTAACTACAGCTCTGTGAACCTTTGGGCTTTAACAGAAAAAATTGTTGCATCTCTCTGAGGATACAATGTCAAGAAATAAAAAAATGAAAAAATGTATCTTCAGTGGTAGACATTCATCTAATACCATAAGAAACTGTAACAGATGCCATTGCTAAACAGTATTTCAGTTAGAATATCAGCAAAGCTTATTTGGTTTTTTTTTTAGAAGTTAGATGTAAAATAAGAAAGGGGAAAAAACCCTAAAACAACAACAAAACAAACAAAAAAAAACCCGAACAAGAACAAAAGGCAGACTTACTGGTTATCATTGCTCCAGTTACAGAACCCAGAAATCCAATGCTGACCACAATGACAGATATCAGCCTCCCCTGCCTATGCCTCTGCAGCATCACAAACATTAATACTCCCACAGCACCATGGACAAAGAGAGAGGAGAAGAGAGCCCAGAGGAAAACCCAGTACCACATCTCTGAAAGAAAGCAGTCAAATAAAGGGTTAATATTCTTAAGACAAAAACTTTATAAGAAACTTTAAAACATTACAAACAATCAACAGCAAGAGAAAATCAATACTGATTTCCATCTTAAAAGTGACATATATGACACCATCAGCATATGCTCAAGACTCTTTCCTCACTTCAGCAGTCTGTCATAAAGGATTATCTGTATTATATTAAAAATTATAAAAAGGATTCTGGCAAAAATCTTAATTCAGATATATTTTTACTAGTAGCCATAATTCCTTTAATGGCTTCTTTAAATAGTGTTGATTGCAATTTCATAGTAGGCATTGTAACTGCTTTTGTCGGATGAAATATCCTCTGATACAAAGACTGAAGGAGGAAAAAGTCAAGAACCAGTCTGGGTTTTGTTTGGGTCGTGAGCTTTTCTTTGGGGCAGGTGTGGATCTTTTGTTGTTTCCCAACCCCCCACCCTCACAAATAAGAGACAACATCAGGTAACATCAGATGGGAAAACTGAGATTAAAAACTTTAGCTTATCTACAACCAGGAGCTGTAATAGGGTGTTCCATCAAATTAACTTCAATAATGCAAATAAAAGCACTATCAGTTTAACAAGAAATTTTAAGACATCTAACTCCCAGCTTCTAATTGCTTAGTACAGAACTTCAGAGAGAGCTAGAGACTATTATTTGAATTACTACAAAGGGTGTCAGATCATGAGAATGTTTGGAGCACAAACAATTCTTTGAAGAATGGCAGACATGATGAGCACCTTCAAAGAAAAGAGCTGAAACCCTGGAGCCATCAATGGAGCTACACAATAACTCAAGAACCTTTCTCACTTAGTGTCAACTTTCTAAAAACTTTCTATAAATCAAGAGGGTGAGTAAATAAAAGAAAAAATCCCTTTTGTTTTTAGGCAAGTACAGTAGGTATGTATCATTACAGAACTTAACAAATTAGGATACATATTCCATAATCCCATGACACTGCCATTAATTCAGTTTTTGCTGCAGTTCTCCTCAAAAATAGAATAAAAATCCCAGCTTCCTTACAAAGGCAAGATACTTATTGCTTATGAGGCAAGCCTGTATTAATGCAGCTCGACTCGTATCAATTATTTGAGGAAAAAATACATCCCAATTAGTTAACTTAAAAATACTGAGCAGCACAAAACATACTGTGAAAAGATGCTACGAAGAAAATGTTGCTACACAATAACCACAGCCCTGGGAGTCCATTGTCAGTAGGTTATGTATACAGATAGCATAGATACAGAGTTCAAGCTTTTTTTATTCAGCAGTACTTTGGGAGTAGCTCAGCCCTTTCCATTTCACACAGGCATAAATGACAACACTATGTTTGCCCAAGGACAAACAGCTCCTCTAAATCATGATAGCCAAAAGGGTCTTTTAAGAGAGCAGCAAGGAAAGATGTTGGCAAATCTACATCCAATTAATACTTCAACTGCAGTTCAAGGTGCAGCTATTCCTTCTGAGTGCCTGGGTATATATGTTCTCATCCTGAAAGTGGCTTGGAGCAGCTCTCCTCAGATCCTCCATCCCTTCACCCCTGGCCCCAAAATGGGCATCAAAAATCTTGGCAAAACGATCATGACCATGGTACTGTTCCACTAAATGAATCTCATCATTCTCAGAAGCTACTGTGACAGAACAGTGGCAGGAGTGTCAAGCAGTAACTCCACAAATGCCCTCACTAAAATGAAGAAAGACTGGCTGACCTAATCTGTGGGAGGGGAACCTCTCCTGCTGTCCTAACAGGCCTGGTCCATTACTAGCACAGCCTGGGTGTTTCCATTGTTTTATTCAAGTGGAAGCACATAAACAAGAGGATTAACCAAAGATCTACCAATATAGAACATGGCAGCCCTGCCAGACCTACAGTTGGACAACAGAGAAACAAACCTTAGGATCTATTAACCAATCTGGACCAAGAAAGTCTGTGGGAATCTGACACTGTCATATCCTGTAATTTCTACAGGATTTCTTAGGCACTGCATCACCGTTTAGGAAATTGGTGTTTGTAGGTATTGTTAACCTTCATCAGGTAGAAAAGACAAATGACTTCCAGTCTTAGGAAAGCTCACTAGGATGATTGTATTTTTAGAAGAAAATGAAAGCTTATGGGAAGGCTAACTACTCTCCTGTAACTAAGAAACCAAAAATATTTACAAACTCTTACACAACAAAATAGCTCCACAGTGAACAACTATCTTCGGTCTTATTTACATTCCAAATAAGGCTCAAGGAAAATTGGTATCACCCCTCACTTTATATTTAGGGCAGGAGGCTTGAGAATAGAACCAGCACCAAAGTGTCCTGTTGGCTAAAGAAGCATAAACTTCAGTTCTTTCACTTTCTCCTCCTACTCCCTAAAAGCAGCAGGCATATTGAAAAGGAAATTAGAGAACATCCAGAAATATCCTTTGTTTGACACAAAAGCATCTGGAGCTTTGTTAAACTATGACCTCCCTTCTTTAAAATATCATGTATGTCTTAAAACATCATGTAGGAGCATGAAACAGGACAAATCACTTCCAAGCACCTTTCCTAGGAAAGGCCAGAAGTTATAATTTCTTATCCTCTTTTATTTACTCTTTCTATGATAGCTCACCCCAGTAATTTCTTCTGCTCATAGGACGAGTAATGAAGCCAACCAAGTAAGTTGTTTAACAGGGATGAACAAGGTAAGGAGAGAGAGACAGCCCTTCAAGCAAATCAGAGGAGACCTTAAGCTCCATTCACCTAGAGGACAACATAAACACTCTTACCCTGATACGGTGAGGGCAGAGAATTACTCATGTTCTGTAAAATTCAGTATCATCTAACCCCTGAATCATGAAGAGAGATGACTCTCAAAAGCAGTATCTGAGAGTAACACTGAAAGACACAAAGAATTGGATGGGAATAACCCTGAGAGATGCCACTAAAGAATAGAGAAAGAATGTGCACCTCTGAACACAAATGGTCAAGACTTCACTTGCTCAAAAATGACTGAGTAGTTTGATTGCTGAATTGAGTTGCAACACCTCTAAGAGGAAGCGAGACTGAAGTGTTTCAGCTATTTATGTCCTATACACTGACTGATCCTTTAAGCAGCATAAATTTATATATTGCTACTCTGACAAGAAAAAGCACAGTCCAATTTCAGTCTTTGTGCAGCTATTTAATTAGCTGGCTCTTTTGACAACATGAGCTGCATAGAGTACTTCACTGTTATGGAGGTAATGATTTACCTGTATCTGTCAGGGAGATTCAAATACTCACCTAGCCTCAGTTTATTTAGTCATGCCCTCAAAGAGCATCCCTAAAGAAGTATGAATAGAATACAAAAAAAAAAGTTTTAACAAAACACTTGCAACTTCTTTTGCTTGACCCTAAGAAAATTTCAGAGTTTACTTTTAGTGTATCCAAATTACTTGAAGTCACCAAAACACAACATACATGTATCAAAACTCCACAGCTCCTAGAGAAATACAGGAACTAGGGAAAGCCCAGTAGTTTACAAGCACAGTGACATTCAGTATACAACGAAGATGTCACAGCTCTCTTCTAATAGGAACAACTGAGATACATTTTTCATGTTTAAAATTCTTAGTGCTTAAACTGAAAAGAAGATTTAAGACAGTGTTTATGTTCCTTTCCTCTGGTTTGCCTCAGTTAGGGATTTTTGTCCTGCCAGAAAAGCTGCAAAACTCAAATACCTTGCAATTAATGCCCAATCACACCAGTTTTAGAGCACTTTGTTAATTTTTATATTTACATCTATCAGATATCATACTTATGTACTACAGATACACAGCTTCATTAAACATGGAGTATCTCCTTAGTCCTTAATCTTCAGTACTTTTCGTCTAAGTTCTAAGCTTGTTTTGCCAGATGAATAATGATTGCCTACAACATGTCATAAATCAAAAGTGATTATTCCAAAATGTCTCTCTCTTTCTCTCTCCATTCTAAACCCAGTACCCAGCCTACTACTATTAGTTACAGAGGTAAATCAAGCAATCAGCACCTGTACTAAGAATACAAAAATACACATTGAAGTCAACAAGGTTGCTCATGTCAAATTTAGAATTATCAAAAAACCAGTAACATTAGATTCCTGTAGCTTATAAACTCAAAGCACTCGAATGAAGTGACAGCATACGATAACTGCAAATGTAACTCAGCTCTTTACATGCTACATTTTTTTCTTCAGCACCAGGTCCTGTCCTTAATTATTGTATTAACTAGTACTTTCAAAGTTATCAAAAATACAGCCAAATTCTTGTTTGGAGATGCTAACATTTTTGCTGCATTAAGTGGGGAAAAAAGCACTTAGCTGGGGACCATGTAAATCTCAAATTACAGACTAGTCCTCTCAAATAACAGGATAGGGGGCAAAGAAAATCCAGACAATCTGGGACAAAAGAGCACAGGATGGAGCTTAGAAGCTTCTATTAGTAGAAATATTGCCAAGTCCCTTATTGTGAAAACAGCTTTTAAGCAATTTTTAGTTTACTGGATACTAATAATGGGAATTTTTTTCTCCTTTTCCAGTTCAAATTCAGCTGCTATCTGATTTGTTCTAGTAAACCCTGATCTAGCACTAACTGTAAAACACAAGCTGTTCATATAAAGGTGTTCTTGGGATATACTGGAGGATGTAACAGAGTGAGACAAAAGCCACCCCACTTTTCCCATGATTCCTAAAGCCTTACTTCCACCTCCCAAGAGAGGTCAGGAAGACAGGAAGCAAGCACACCATGGTGATGGGCCTATGTTCAGCTAAAAGGAACAACACCAGCAGCTTTATCTGTTGCAAGGTGTGATGTGTATGTGGCAGCAATGAACTTGTCTGTGGTCTCCTGGGTATTTGAGGCCACAAATTAAATACGGGTTTTTCTTTTTTTATGTTGAACCTGATTCACCTGGACGGTATAAAAATAATCTTTCAGTTTCTCATTGACAGGAAAAAGAGCCCACCAAAACTAAACTATGAAGTATTCCTGACTATATGAAGCATTCCTGGCTTAGGCTGGAGTTCATATCAGGACCCTGTTGAAAAATTCAGAAAATTAACATATTTTTAGAAGGAAGCTGGTAACATTTTGCAACATGTTTGTGAAAACATAATCAATATAGTTTATCTAAAGGAGATAATTCTTCACTTGTGCAACTTGAAAGTCTAGTCCAGACCACAACATTAAGTCTGAAAGTAGACACAAAGCAGTCTGGAATATTCATGGAACATGGCATATTAATGATTTTCTTTTCCCAGTATTCTGGAGAAGTTTCTCCTTATACATAACAGAGGCAAAAGGGAATGGATTAAGTAGTCAAAGAAGATAAACTCATTCACAAACCTATTTTCTTGGCAGGGAAAAGAACAGAATTTCTGGTCTTGAACAAAGTTTACTTCAATAAGAAGTAAGGAAGGACTTATGTAACTAGTTCAGCTTTTTGTTAATATCAATGATTATATCAATATATATTCTAACCTGTGGAAAAGATTTTTAAGTCCAGTGCAAGTTTTGGACTGCTAACAGTCCATAAGAGCATTCAGCTCAACAGGTTATGGCTGTAAGACCAGCCATGTTTTTAAACATAAATTTAGAAACTCTAATTACAACTGGCACTGACACATTCTCCAAGAACATTACAATTGCTAAAAAATTATTTTTCATATTTTTTAAGTTAAAAAGAAAATACATTCTACATAAAAAATACCTTATGCAAGTCCTTATCTTATTGCACAAGCACTTAGAAACGAGCTGATTTTAACTCTCAGCACTGAATTTCATAGAAACGCCTATGCTGAATGATCTAATAAGAACAATTTTACTGAGGATGTCTGGCACAAAGCAAAGTGAAGTCCATTGTGAACGTTTTCCTTTAAGTGTACAAATTTTTAAAGTAGATATGTTAAAGTAATTGCTCAGGAAGTGAGCTGTATTTAGTGTACCACCACACTAATACCTGGAAACTCTAATTATGAGACATAAACTACAAAGTTCATAGATAAAAAAGATTAACCTTTTAATATTATCTAAGATGCATCCTGAAAGTTAAAAGAACAAGAAAGACAATCACTTTCTGTTTGCTACAGCTCCAACTTCAGCTACACTTCTATTTCCATCACACTTCCTCCACCTCTGAAACATGAAAAAAGAAAACAGAATATATCAACCATTACTATAGAGTGCAAAAAGGTGACATAATATTCTTTCATAAATACTAGACTATTTCCATAACTGTTTAAAACCTATCCCTAAGGAACGTTTTCCACTAATCTGTCACCACCTAATACACCCCTACAACTGAGCAGAAAGAATTCACCCAATTACATCTCTGCTATTGACACCCAATCCCTGCTTGTTCAGAGCTGGAAGCTTATGCTTTTCTTTACACAAGGACAGAATAAGAGAAGATACCCCTCTCCACCATATGCTTTGGGTCTCACAGTAGTCCACACCCATTTTTCAGCCTGAGACTGAGCAGAAAAAAGCCAGCTCTTACCAAAAGCCAGCCAAAGCTCCCTTCTCCTAACAGGGGGTGAGGACCTGACTCTACTTTGGTTCACAGAATTTTTTCGTAACAGCTCAGCCTTTAAGAATCCCAGATGCTTAAGATTACAACTACTTGTCAGAAAACAACTGCCACCTCATTCACTCCCACAGGTATTATCCACAGGTATACTCGGAGGTAGCGGGGGACAGTCTCTGATTCTCCACATTCAATTTTATGGTTTTCTAGTTGTTGGGTTTTTTTGGTGGTTTTTTTGTTTGTTTGTTTGTTTGTTTTATAGCTCTCTGTCAAATGCCAAGGAGGATATATCTACAAGGGGAAAAAATAAAATAAAAAACCAACCACCTCCACAAACATACTCCAGCCTTCCATATATTTTTATACACTCACACACACACAGGTACCCATCACTTCACTCGCATAAACACACCCTATGCTAATAGCCTTCTTTTATTCTACATGGGCACAGAAAAGTGAGCGAGCACATCCCACACGCTCGCGTCCTTCGCACGGGCAGGCATCCCAGACACCGGGCACACACCCAGCCCAACCAACACCTCACACAGACCCCTCCCGATTCCCTACCCCACAGCAGGCGTACACACACACACACACACACACACACACACACACACACACACACACGATATATCTGCTCACAGAACACGCACGGAGGCACCCGGGGAGACTGGGGAACACAAGCACCAGCCCTCCCTGCGCAGCACACGGAGACCACCGCCGCCCCCACGCCCTCCATTGTGCCCAGCCCCGGGCGCACCCTCGCAGCCGCCCGGCCCCGCACTGCCCCGTTACCCGTGAGGCTGCGGAGGACGGTGCCGTGAGCCCACAGGCTCAGCACTTGCTGCACCGACAGGTTGATCATGGAGTTGTCCCCCGCTTCCACCTTCATGGTGCCGCCGCCGGACCGCGGGGCGGGAGGGAGGCGGCGGCGAGGAGCGAGAGGGCGGGGAGGCGGCCACGGGAGCTCCGCGCCGCGGTGGAGACATCGAGGACGGAGTGCGGGCGGCGGCGGCCGGGGGAGCCGGGCGATCGCGGGGGAGGAGGGGAGCCGGCCGCTGGCGCTTCCCCGCCGCTCAGGGGCAGGGCCGGGCGGCGGAGCCCATCATCATCATCATCACCATCATCATCTCCGCCTCCTCTACCAGCAGTGGCCGCCGCCGGCTCGCCGGCGGCATCGTCACCCCGGTCACCGGCATCACCTGGAGCGAGGGCGGGGCGGCCGCGGGCCGTCCCTCAGGCGGGCGGCTCCATGCGGGAGAGCGGCGGCAGCGGGGAGGCTCCCGGCGGCAGCGGCTGCCGGCGGGGAGGGAGCGGGGCCGCGGGAGCGGGGCCGCGGGAGCGGGGCCGCGGCAGCGGCAGTGCCGGGAGCGGCGGGCGGCCCCGCGCAGGCGCGGCGGGAGGAGCCGGGGGGCGCGGGCTCCTCCCTCCAACCGGGGAACCAGAGCTGGGAATCGCCGTTTGAGTCAAAGCGGGCGGGAAACACTGGCGATGTTGTGGACCCCCCAGAGAAACTTGCGTTAGCAAGAAGTGTCTCAAATGAAATCTACGTACACCTGTGGGTCGATTTAAAGGGGAAAATAAAGTGATAACATTCCACGGTGTTAAAGCTGGTGTTTAAGTTGATGCCGCTGAGTGCGTTTAAACATCGGAGAAGAGCAAAATGCAGGTTCTGTTCTGTTCTGTTCTGTTCTGTTCTGTTCTGTTCTGTTCTGTTCTGTTCTGTTCTGTTCTGTTCTGTTCTGATGAGAGCAGTGTTTTCAGCTCGCCGCTCACGGCCTCAGCACACGGAGCTCCAGAGAGCGCGGGCGGACGCACCTCCGCGGCTGCCGCGGCGGCTCTGGGGACCAGCCCCGGCGGAGCAGGACGGGACAGGGCCAAAGAAGCGGTGCGCACAGCGGGAGTGCCGCTCGGGGGTGCCGGGGCTGCTGGAGCTCAGGTGGCAGCGGAGAAGCTGTCATCCCGAGCTGTCATCCCGAGGCAACATCCAGGCAACGCTGCGTGACGTCCCTGCCTGTCCCTTTGAACCTCGTAGCTCCGCCGTCAGTGTTGCCGAAGATTAAAGCCACAGAAAGTTAGAAAACGTCAGAAATCGTCAGCGAATCTTTATTCTGTGCCTTTGCTTTCTTTATGTTATAAAAGAACAGAGCCTTTAAGCTGTACGCGTCTTCTCTCAAAGCACGGGATGCACGGTGCTTACCGATGTAAAAGCCAGCAATCATCCCCCATCCATTCTTAAATATGCATCCCTAGGCCACATTTAGTGCCCACACTTCCTCGCTGGCATTTCTTCAACAGTGCTTGCTACAGTATCTTGTAAACATCATTTAATGTCAGCATCCTTTGATGGAAAGGGTTGGAGAGGTAAAGCAATTAGTAATAAAATTTGCAATTTATAGATGAAGGGTCATGACAGATAAATCAACTCATATCCTGCTTGATGCCAATGACCTGGTTTTTTTTCAGATAGATTTTTGCAGGATGTCTGATTCAGGGGAGTGCTTCCAAAGCCTTTTGCAGCTCACAGTGCTTGGCATTTCTACAAGTAGGTATCAAGCCAGGCAATGAGAAGCTCACAGGGAACAGCTCCCTAGGGGGCTCGATGTTTCACTGGTTAAGCATGGGATCACTGATGGAGAAATAACTCAGCTGCTGGGCCAGGTCCCTGTTCCATGACCAAGGGAAGGTCTTCTCTCTTCCTCTTCTTGTAACCCCACCACTTCACAGCTGTGTAATTCAGGCTTTACAGAAAACAGTTCCCTTCATTATACAGTAATGATTCATTTTTAGGGCAGAATTATTCTGTACTTGGAATAGGGCTCAGTGAGAAAATAGCATATAATTTAAGTTTGAATGTGAAACGTACAATTAATTATTTAGGAACAGTTTTTCTGGTTTATTCTTTTTAACTTCTGTATGCCAAACTTTGAGAAAACAAACATTTTTTAAATATCCTTAAATAAAATCCCCACCCCTAAATTTATTTTTGTTGTAGACCAGTGTCCCAAGAACAAGGCACACTCTGCAGGACACTATGGTGTAATCAAACTTACAGTAAAAAGGAAGACTACTTTTGGTGACCATTTTGTCTCATAAATCTCCTATGAGAACTTACTGGCAGATGCCATCAAGACTATCTGATAGGCCAGAGGCATGCATGGAAACATGCATGTATCTGTAAGCAATGCTGCATTGGTGCCCAGTGACCTTTCAACCTGCACAGGGATGATTTTTTGTGTTCCACACAAGGAAGAATGCACTGGGAATACTGGCTTTGAAACACTCATGTCCAGAACTTGCTAGAACCCCTTCCTCAAGCTTTTACAGTAGAAGTACAGGGAACACATTCATGTAGAGGTCGAGTGAGTATCTCTGTAGTTTGCAGATTCTTGCAATATTTGCTCTCTCCTCCCAGGGAGGGATGATCATTCTGCAGCAGTGCACGGACAGCAGGAACACAGAGCTGCTCCTCTAAGTCCTAGGAGAACAAACCAGCTTTCTTCCCAACAGAGGTCCACCAAAACCACAGTCCAGCTTCCACTGAAACTACATCTAAGGAGGCTAAAATGGTTGTCAAACCTCAGGCATGCAACATCTAAATTAACTGAGCATTTTCTATCAAATACCGCCAACACACTTGGATAGTGTACAAGTGGTAAAGGGATGGACACTCATCTTAAAAATGGCCATAATTAATGTAATATATTCAACTTAATCCTCAGTCCATCATCCAGCAGGTGAACTGGATACAAATTTGAATACAAATTCATCATGTGAAAACAAAGCTAACTGGATGATTCAGGAAAATATTGCTAAAGTATTGACTTGAAAAAAAAAAAAAAAAAAAAAAAAAAAGTGGGGGGGATGGTACATGGAAGTGACAGTTGCCAGTAGCACAACACTGAGAAGATGTCATTGTGGAGTACAGAGTGCCTTGAATGAGACAGCAGAAACAACAAAAATTCACTCTTCCAAACTGTAGGAGCGGGGAACTGCAGCAAGCTGTGTCCTCAGCAAGACGTCCCACATGGGTGGTATTACCACAGAAGTCCTGAGTGTATCAGCTCCCTGCAAGGATTATTATGGGCTCTGTAGTCAGCAATGTACAGAGCAACAGAAATGATGGCAAGGGACCCAGCAGGGCTTAGGCTTCTGCTGAAACTGTGATTCAGGGGAAGAATAAACCACATGTGCTTGAGTAAGGCAAGCAAAGGTGGTGAGGGCTGAAAACATCTCAGGGAGGAGAAACCACAAGGGACAGCACAGTTATGATAAGTAAAACAGGAAAGAAAAAAAAGAAGAAGAAAGAAGAAGAAGGAGGAGGACATAATCTCAGAATTTCATCAGATAAGGTAGATGCATACCATAAATTATTAATGATTAAAAAAACCTTTTACAAGGGCCTGGTAAAACCACTTTAATTGTTGTGGCACCCTGAGCATGGGGAGGACAGGCACAGCAGAGAACGTGGGGATGGATCAGGAAAGGTGACTGTGTCAGAGGGCTTGATGGTAGGGTGGCAGAGGGAGGGCTGGCAGGCTGGGGTACAACCAGTTCTGATAACCCTCTGCAGAGCAGGGATCAGGACAAGGCTTGGAACTGCAGGGAAAACAGCAGGGGAGGGGAGAGAAACTTACAAAAAAACCTTCCCAATTTGTGTAGAAATCCCAAGCTTCCACTCCTGTGTGGTATTCCAGGGGTCAGGACACAACTCAAAAAGTGCCTGACAGCCAGCCCTGAGCCACCACAAATGCCTGAGAGACTCCAGGCCTCCTTTACACATGCAAACCCACCAGTGAAAGGGTCCATGGGGAAAACCTGAAAGCTTATGCAGGAACTGATCTTCATCCCAGATGAACTCATTTTCCTTCCCCCATTCCCCTATTCCCTCACAGCAGCTGGGAGATTTGGGAGCTTCCCCATGCTGCATGTGTGCAAACCACTGCAAGGAGACAGCTGTAAACTCTGACTTCAGCCAAAGGAAATTAGTTTTACAGGTGTAAAAGTAGGGTCAGCTTAGTTTCTCTGCCCTGCAAAAGATCAGAATACATAAGTTGCTATTAACTTCTGGTATTGTTTTCAGAAGCTGAAGAAATAATGATAAATTTAATTGGAGGGCCCTTGGCTGAATGATTTTCCACGTGCAAAGGTAATGCTCTTCAAAATGAACTGATTTCTTAAGTCACATCTTTTTAGAGAAACAGACAAGACTGAATATGTTCTATTGCCATGTTCAGAAACAAATATTTTATTTTCCATGGTGAATACGGCTTTTCATCATAGTAAAACATCAAAATCCAAATAGCAACCCCTTTTGGTCTCCTTGAAGAACAGAATTCTCACTTGAGATTTTCTAGCCAGAGCTGGCCATGTAGATTGACTGGCACTGCAGCTAAAGATCTGTTTTAACTGAATGGATAATCCCAGCACTGCTCATATCTGCAGACACTTTTCCCTCAGTTCAAAGGGGTTTTTTGGCCTTTGACCCAAGTCACTGACAAGATGTTACAAGTACAGATAATAAATTAATTTCTCTGACGTTAGCAATAGTTTTCTTCCTACTTGTCCCTTTTCTAGACCACCAATTTAGGCACAGCAGTCGCTACTCAATCAGAAGAATTGGCAGTCACAGCTAGTTGTGGCTGGAGAAGTGGGTCTTTCAGACATCCTCGGCCTCCTAATCGCAGCTCTCAAAAGGCTGAAACGCGATCTCAGCCTCTAACCTCGATGACGGATGAAGATGCCGGGGCAGCCCTGTAGGAGAGGAAGGAAGTAAGGTAACACCACGGGCTAAATACCGCAACTCTCCCCAGCATGAAAGCGCCGTCGCAGGTCGATCTGAGCGGTCAGAAATCATCCCGAGCCGGCTGCCAGGGCGGCAGAGGGAGGCAGAGGCGCACGGGAGACTTTCCCCACGCACCGGCAGATGGAGCGCGGCGGTGCCGAGGCTGCTCCGCACAGCCGGAGCGCTCCAGGGCTTCCTTGGCAATGCTGCTGCAAGAACACAAC